ATGATGATGATGGTGATGATGACGATGACGATGACGATGATGATGATGGTGATGGTGATGACGATGATGATGATGGTGATGATGATGATGGTGATGACGATGATGATGATGGTGATGGTGATGATGATGATGGTGATGATGATGGTGATGACGATGATGATGATGGTGATGGTGATGATGATGATGATGGTGATGACGATGATGATGATGGTGATGGTGATGATGATGATGATGGTGATGACGATGATGATGATGGTGATGATGATGATGATGGTGATGACGATGATGATGATGGTGATGGTGATGATGATGATGATGATGGTGATGACGATGATGATGATGGCGATGGTGATGATGATGATGGTGATGACGATGACGATGACGATGATGATGATGATGGTGATGACGATGATGATGATGGTGATGGTGATGATGATGATGGTGATGATGACGATGACGATGACGATGATGATGATGATGATGATGGTGATGACGATGATGATGATGGTGATGGTGATGATGATGATGATGGTGATGATGACGATGACGATGACGATGATGATGATGATGGTGATGACGATGATGATGATGGTGATGGTGATGATGATGATGATGGTGATGATGACGATGGCGATGACGATGATGATGATGACGATGATGATGATGGTGATGACGATGATGATGATGGTGATGGTGATGATGATGATGATGGTGATGATGACGATGACGATGACGATGATGATGATGATGGTGATGACGATGATGATGATGGTGATGGTGATGATGATGATGATGATGATGGTGATGATGACGATGACGATGACGATGATGATGATGATGATGGTGATGGTGATGGTGATGATGATGATGGTGATGGTGATGATGATGATGACGATGACGATGACGATGATGATGATGATGATGACGATGATGATGATGATGGTGATGGTGATGATGATGACGATGACGATGATGATGATGATGAGGATGAGGATGAGGATGATGATGATTGTAAGTGTGGAGGAACGTCCGGCTTGAACGGAATATGTTTCATAGGGATGTACATGGCTTGTTAAGGTTTTTCCATATACAAATGGTTTATGCATGGAATCACATGTATTTTCTACATGATTTGAAATGACTTGAGCGCGAAAAGCGATTAATGATGGGGTGTGTGATCATTGAAAATGAGAATCTCAATCACGTCATCCTCGGTCATAGTCACACAACAATTATGGCAAATTGCCCCATGAAATTGCCTAGCCTGGTAAACAAGAAACTCGGCTGTGAACAGAATGGCAACCAGCTGATTTGATCCATTTCCAAACAACTGGATGGCCATGGATGTTTATGGACGTTCATCTCCAGACCTTGTAAACGGGGTATATGAAAAGGAATTGGGGATTTAAACTGATTTACTTGTCAGGTTTGTGAAGTACTTCCAGGGCCTTAGCAGAGCATGCAGCAGAGCATCTCCCACAGTTAAACTAAGTGGTCAGCTCTGATAAATCGCTGCGGAAAAACACAGATCAGGTTTGCTCTCCAGACGTCCATTCATTTTCCTGGACCTCGGTGCTTAAAACATCTTAAAGTGATTTAAGTCGTCTATATACATGCTAGAAAATTTCTATATCACGACCACCGTTGGAACTCTTGTGGTGCCAGTTTATTCTGGCCGTTGTGTGACCGCAGGTGCAGCGGACCGCAGAGAATCAGAAGATACTGGAAGAAGAGTTGTTTGAACGATTGAAAGAGTTCGAACTACAGGCGATTGCCGATTTTCTTGGGCAATGAAAGAAACCATCTCGTCTTTTTGGGACTTTTGGTGTTTGAAGTTTATACCCATGTAGTATTCACTAGCTGTAGATGGGAATGAATTTACTGGGGATGTATTCCAATCACACGTGGGATATTTTCTTGATAATTGCCCTCTGATTTGTGATATTTTGTGATGCAACCCCAAAAAGGGAGATCTTTATCAACCACAAGGGGTCTCAGAGACACAACATGATACAACCGATACATACCGCTACAACATGCTTTAGAAGTTGGGGTACCGAGGCCCCACCCGTGGGGTTTCCAGCCCATTGAAAAAACCACCGTTGTAGGCGCGGAGGACGCCCGAAGGGCCCGAAGGGCCCGACATCTCGGAGCGCTTGGACTATTTTGACCACCAGGTGGCTACGGGGCAATGGCTACCCTCTGGTAAACTAACATAGCAATGGAAAATCACAATTTTTAATGGGAAAATCAACTATAAATGGCCATTTTCAATAGCTATGTTAAATTACCAGAGGGTATGATTTTTTGGGGATCCAATTTGGACCACTTTCTGGACCCGCAAAAAGCTGGTGATTTTTTAAGATTCCACCAGCCAATGTCGGGTGTATATAATTTTGAGCCACGCCCATATCCATCTAAAGACCAGAAAGTGAACCCAGATTTGATTTCACAGTTCAGGTATTTTTTTGGTGCTTGTAGCTTTACGGTATGGGAATTAAACAATATCAAAATCATTGGATTACATCATCTACTTCATACTATGTCGAAAGTTACTTTTCCCAATCTCGGGGTACGCGTCTCCCTCAAGAAAACTGGTGTTGCCTCAGATTGACCATAATTATACGGTTGGGGTTATATATGTATATATGTATAGAATGCCAGTCTTCTATTTTATCTCATATGGTGCCAGAATTAAATTATTCATTTGATTTGTTGCAACTGCAAAGGCTGCATCGGAAAATCCATCGGTCCCGTACAGTACAGATTCACCATTCCCTCATTGCTGGCTCAGTGCCACGTAGCTGGCTCAATGCCTCGTTGCTGGCTCAGCGCCTCGTAGCTGGCTCAATCTTTTTGAACGAAAAAACAAGAACCAATAAAACGCAAAAAAAATGAGCCAGCTACATGCCCTGGAGCCAGCTCGGTGTGCCGTCATCATCCCGGCCAATACATATTATGTATTCGCTTTTTTGCTTTCACATTCGTTCGCCAGCTCAACGTGACGTAGCTGGCTTAATTTTGTCGAGTTTTTTTGGGGTTGAAAAAAATTGAGCCAGCTCCATGCCATCGAGCTAGAGCGATGTGTTTGAGCTAGCGCGGTGTTGCTGAGGTAGCTCGTTCCACTTGAGCGAGCCTGCAAAAAAATCCCAATGTGTTCAATTGCCAGGTTCAGTCCCAAATCATTCGTTTAATAGAGATGGTACCCCTGTTGCAGCCCAGAAATTTAGGAGCCACGTTTTGGGCCAAATCTGCTTAGACATCGGCACAACAAAAAAGTCAAACACATGACCCCTTCTGAAATTGAGCCAGCTACATGTTTTGAGCTAACTCGAAAATGAGCAAGATTGTGGATTGCTACATTCAACTATGATTATGTATATATATATATGATGTACATGTTTTTTTTTGTGAATTTTTAGCAATCGTTAAAATTTTCCAGATGTGTCTCTCCCAAAAACCAAAGGGGAGTTGCCCCTTCCAGCCGTTTTTTTCACAGGTGCACCTGGCAGCGCAGAGCCAACGAAGCTTGGCCGAGGATTTGTTTCAGCGCCTGGACGAATTGGAGCAGCAGGTGCCATGCCGCGAAGTGGACCATGGGGATGTTATCTGGAGTACCTATAGGACAATTACAGTAACTAACATTTCTAGTGATTGATAGTGATTAATGATTGTATCATGGGATGATTAATGGAATGGTGATTAATCTGGATGAATTTGCTCACGGCCTCACGTCGTGACGTCACTGGAATTATGGTGAATGTATGGGGAAATCACCCCCATAGTCCGGCCGTTGGCCGGACTATTCAGCGATTTTCAGGTGAGTGAATTATTATAGTTCAGCCAGATGTTGTCCAAACATAAATCGTTGAGGGACATTCCATGGGAAATACACTAGATATTACACATGGAATCTTTCAATCGGATATCATGGGATGCAAAGAGAATAAATAGGTAAATAAATAAATAATAAAAATAATAAACACAAAAAACAAATATATATATATATATATATATGCATGTATATATATATATATACACATACGCATTGGGGATGTTTTGTGGGGATATCATGGAATATCAGGATATTTATTTTGCATTTCATGTCATATCATATTCTACGTGTGTATTTATAGATATATTCTATGTATATATATATAATGGAAGGTTATTTTTTTTGGCATTTTTTTTTGTTTCTGGTTTTTGGTTTTTTGCTTCTGGTTTTTGTTTTTTGGCTTCTGGTTCCTTCGGTTTCTGGTTTCTGGCTTGTATTTGCTGGTATATAATTCACATATATATATATATATAGATAGATGCATATACTGGGATATCGTGGGATTTCCTGAACCATACAAAATGCGGAAACTCAGGTTTTGACACCGTGATGTGACGGTAAACCTGAGTGTGTGTCCAACCCCAACCTGGGTAAACCTTCCCGGTGAATCGCGGTTTATATTGATGTTTGCATGTTTGTTGCGGGGTTCATGAGAACAACATGCAGATAAATACAGACTTTGATGCAGGGGGTCTAAGATTAGCCCTGCAACTGACTCACTAGACTGGTCAAAACAAAGTGGAACATAAGCCTGTTGAAATCCCTAAAAGATGATTAAAAACTCTTTTGAACATGGATGAACATGGGGTGATTTTCCACTTTGGTTCTGAAAAAACCGGGTCATTTTCACCATTGGATGATCCGGTGGCAGGTACATAGCAGCTACAACCAGGAGCTTCTGGAATTGCTGGAGAACTTGGAGATTCAAGCGCCCCGGTCTGCTGGAGGTCCCCACTTCAGAACACGCCTTCTTTGAACCATTAAAAATAGCCTACTGGTTGATTGGTTATTATTCAGAGTTATACTGTTATACTCCTTCAAGGTTGTTGGGGATGATTATTACTATTCATTGCAGGGAAGCCTATGAACCAACTAGTATAATGAGATTGGATAGGGGAAATTGTTTTCAAAACATACATGTCATGTTGTACATCCATGTTGGCCCCAAGTCATTGGCAAGTGGCGAAAGTGTTGGGTTTCTGCCGGGGGCATTATGCCCACTGCCATGGCTGACGGCTTCCATAGCTACACATGGCTAGGGCCCAATACTATTGACCTCCAAAATTTGCAATCATGGAAAACCATAGACAGGTTCATGGGTGAAACGTTGGGATCAACAAGCCCAAAAATTCAAATATAGACAGGGGTGCTCCAAGCTATTACAGGTGCATCACAACCACAAAAAACGGAAAATTGGTCCCTGTGGTGGTCAGCAGCCCCTTTTTCAGGTGCGACAGGGTGGGGAAAGGCAAGAGGAGCTCGAAAGCGAAGTGCAACAGCTCCAGGAGTGGAGGGACCTGATGGGCCTGTCAAAAAGAGGAACATAACCATTGGGGTACCCTCTGGAAATTTAAGGTACCCTCTGGAAATTTAACATAGCTATTGAAAATGACCATTTATACTGGATTTACCCATTGAAAATGGTGATTTTCTATAGTTATGTTAGTTTACCAGAGGGTATATAGCCTCATTATTGGGGTATATGGTCTGTAAACCAGGAATTTCAGTTTATCACGTATCATTGTTTTTTTTGTCTCTATAGTAACTATATGTAACTATCTCAATAGTTAGTGGAGTAGCTCATCGGCTATCGTGATTACTATCGTGATTATCAACAACTAATGGCAGCCAAGACGCCATGTCCCGTGTTAGAGGGTTCTCTTTGGGACGGTTAACTTGAAGTCAAGTTCCATGTTAAATACCTCATCTCGATTATGACAAATCAATGTAATTAAATATCAATTCTGAATGATGATGGATATTGCAACTTTCAATAACTCATTGGTTTTAATATGTATCAAGACTACGTACAATATTATATTATGGTTAATGATAACAATAATAATAATCATCATCACCATCATCATCATGATCATCATGTAGACATACACCCCTTCATAATATTCATGTTGTTCTATATATATATATATAATTATTATATGTATATAATATATATATATATGTATTATGTATATATATACACTGTATTATTCAAAGATACTACACCCAGTTCAAATTTTCATTACCCCTAATGACTTACCAGAAAGGTGTTGGATGTCAACATTCCCAATTGGTGGTTGATTCTTGTGCTGATCTAATTACTTTCAGAAATCTTTATTTGGCGTGTCATACTCCCTTTTGTTTGGATTTGTCTTGTGATGATCCCATTTTTTTGGGCATGTCCTGGATATCATCCTCCCATATGGTGGGATTTTGAGGATCATACTTATCATACTTCACTCATACTTCCATGATCTTCCATGTTTTCTTGTGCATTTCTATGCATTTCTTGTTGACATCGCTTGTGTCGCGCAAACAAAAAGGGACCTGGTGTCGTTGCAGGAGAATTTTGGTGTGTCCAGAAGGATCCAACATGGAGCCGAGGAGCCGAGGTTGATCATAGAAACCCTTGTGGTTGATCATATTACCCTCTGGAAAATGGTGGTTTAATGGGATTTAATGGGATTTAATAGGATATAACCTCTGGTAAACTAACAGAACTATGGAAAATCACCATTTTCAATGGGAAAACTCACTATAAATTTGGCCATTTTCAATAGCTATGATAAATTACCAGAGGGTATATGGGGCTTTCCATAAATGGAGATACCCTAATAGCTGGATGGTTTATTTTAATGTAAAAAAATCATGGAACATCCATAACTGGATGATTTGGGGCTACCCCGATTTGAGGAAACCTTGATATATGAAAATTCACAAGACCGTTCAACCCACACCACTCTCCGTAGCCTCTGTGATGATGCGTTCTTGTTCTAATTCTTACTGGGTCCGTGATGGACTTTGCCATAGAGGGATTTTTTGGTCAGTGCTTGTGCCCAGGAGTCTGACAGAACTCCACTGGAGCAATCCGTGGAGGAGCAGCCTCTGCTTACCATCACCGCATCTCTACCCTTTTTTGGGGGGTCTTGATTTGTGAGGATTCTGAAAGAACAACAGAACGTTCGGCAATGGAGGAGCCGCGTTGTCCATCATGCCAGCGTCACACCATGACAAGGAACATGTTCCTTGCTTTCGAACTTGGTTTTGTTTTGCTCAATCGGCAGCCTGCGGAGGAACGTGTGGTTGAAGACAGGGATGCACAGGAGGAGTCCCAAAATTCTCTGACATAGTTGCATTCTCTTGCTGAAATGTCATGACATGTCTGGCTGGTTGCGTGCAGTGCACAGGAACCTGGGGAGACACCCATAGATCTGACAGACGAGGAGACATTGCATCTAGCGCGGTAGCTGCAAACCAGCACTACAGCTGCTGCTTGAGTTATCTATACCCATGATATCTCCCGGTTGTTGTCATCTTGCTGTCTTTGTGCGAGGAGTCCCCTGCTAGACCTTCCCACTCTTCCCTGACGGAGGACTTTTGGATGTGAAAATTATATTTGGAGTCAAATTGGTATTAGATTCAACAAGTTACAACATTAAGCATCATTTAAGAACTCATACACCGGTACATTTCCCCTGTGTTCGTTCCTGAGGGATCACATTTTGATAACCAAGTACATCTGAGTAATCCCGTTTGCAGAGCATGAGATGTTTGACATTCTTCTTTGCTCTTGAGCTGTATTTTTGTTTGCTCAATCGGCAGCCTGCGGAGGAACGTGTGGTTGAAGACAGGGACGCACAGGAGGAGTCCCAAAATTCTCTGACATAGTTGCGTTCTCTTGCTGAAATGTCATGACATGTCTGGGCTGGTTGCGTGCAGTGCACAGGAACCTGGGGAGACACCCATAGATCTGACAGACGAGGAGACATTGCATCTAGCGCGGTAGCTGCAAACCAGCACTACAGCTGCTGCTTGAGTTATCTATACCCGTGATATCTCCCCCTTGTTGTCATCTTGCTGTCTTTGTGCGAGGAGTCCCCTGCTAGACCTTCTGACTCTTCCCTGACGGAGGACTTTTGGATGTGAAAATTATATTGGAACATGTGGAGCAGCACATTGACAAAAGTTTGCAAAATCATGAGCAGAAAACTAGAAGCGCAACTCAAACATGCATTTCCGAGTCTTGGTCTAGGACGAATCTGAGAGAAGTCCGGCAAGGCGTTCTGCTGAGGAGCAATTTCAACTGATGCGCTTCTGGCCCTTCGGGCCCTTTCAAAACTATATCCAGACATGTGACCAGCTTGTGAATTACATGAGACATCATGAGACTGAATCATATGAGACTGAATCAGATTGAATCATACAGAAGGAAAAAAAACGGTCGTAGATGGTTGTAGTCTGTTCAAAATTCTTACCCCTTTTGACTCTGCGACATTCCGTGACTGATCACATGGAATGCTACCACAGCTTTGCCTGTCGAATCTTGAGGAAATGAATGGGTTCAGCATTGGCGTATACGCTCAGTACCATGTTGCCACATTTGGGTCTTTTCTGAGAGGAATCTGACAGAACTCCGACAGACCGTTCTGCAATGGAGGAGCCCGTGATGGGGAGCCGCTTTGTCAAATGGCATCAAATTAACCTGGATCTCACATATACGGCAGCTTCTTTTATGACATTTCGTGTCATTTGGAGTCAATTGGTATTAGATTCAACAAGTTACAACATTAAGCATCATTTAAGAACTCATACACCGGTACATTTCCCCTGTGTTCGTTCCTGAGGGATCACATTTTGATAGCCAAGCACATCCTGAGTAATCCCGTTTGCAGAGCATGAGATGTTTGACATTCTTCTTTGCTCTTGAGCTGTATTTTTGTTTTCTCAATCGGCAGCCTGCGGAGGAACGTGTGGTTGAAGACAGGGACGCACAGGAGGAGTCCCAAAATTCTCTGACATAGTTGCATTCTCTTGCTGAATGTCATGACATGTCTGGGCTGGTTGCGTGCAGTGCACAGGAACCTGGGGAGACACCCATAGATCTGACAGACGAGGAGACATTGCATCTAGATGCATCTAGCGCGGTAGCTGCAAACCAGCACTACAGCTGCTGCTTGAGTTATCTATACCCGTAATATCTCCCGCTTGTCGTCATCTTGCTGTCTTTGTGCGAGGAGTCCCCTGCTAGACCTTCCCACTCTTCCCTGACGGAGGACTTTTGGATGTGAAAATTATATTGGAACATGTGGAGCAGCACATTAACAAAAGTTTGCAAAATCATGAGCAGAAAACTAGAAGCGCAACTCAAACATGCATTTCCGAGTCTTGGTCTAGGACGAATCTGAGAGAAGTCCGGCAAGGCATTCTGCTGAGGAGCAACTTCAACTGATGCGCTTCTGGCCCTTCGGGCCCTTTCAAAACTATATCCAGACATGTGACCAGCTTGTGAATTACATGAGACATCATGAGACTGAATCATATGAGACTGAATCAGATTGAATCATACAGAAGGAAAAAAACGGTCGTAGATGGTTGTAGTCTGTTCAAAATTCTTACCCCTTTTGACTCTGCGACATTCCGTGACTGATCACATGGAATGCTACCACAGCTTTGCCTGTCGAATCTTGAGGAAATGAATGGGTTCAGCATTGGCAGTATAGGCTCAGTACCATGTTGCCACATTTGGGTCTTTTCTGAGAGGAATCTGACAGAACTCCGACAGACCGTTCTGCAATGGAGGAGCCCGTGATGGGGAGCCGCTTTGTCAAATGGCATCAAATTAACCTGGATCTCACATATACGGCAGCTTCTTTTATGACATTTCGTGTCATTTGGAGTCAATTGGTATTAGATTCAACAAGTTACAACATTAAGCATCATTTAAGAACTCATACACCGGTACATTTCCCCTGTGTTCGTTCCTGAGGGATCACATTTTGATAGCCAAGCACATCCTGAGTAATCCCGTTTGCAGAGCATGAGATGTTTGACATTCTTCTTTGCTCTTGAGCTGTATTTTTGTTTTCTCAATCGGCAGCCTGCGGAGGAACGTGTGGTTGAAGACAGGGACGCACAGGAGGAGTCCCAAAATTCTCTGACATAGTTGCATTCTCTTGCTGAATGTCATGACATGTCTGGGCTGGTTGCGTGCAGTGCACAGGAACCTGGGGAGACACCCATAGATCTGACAGACGAGGAGACATTGCATCTAGATGCATCTAGCGCGGTAGCTGCAAACCAGCACTACAGCTGCTGCTTGAGTTATCTATACCCGTAATATCTCCCGCTTGTTGTCATCTTGCTGTCTTTGTGCGAGGAGTCCCCTGCTAGACCTTCTGACTCTTCCCTGACGGAGGACTTTTGGATGTGAAAATTATATTGGAACATGTGGAGCAGCACATTGACAAAAGTTTGCAAAATCATGAGCAGAAAACTAGAAGCGCAACTCAAACATGCATTTCCGAGTCTTGGTCTAGGACGAATCTGAGAGAAGTCCGGCAAGGCGTTCTGCTGAGGAGCAATTTCCACTGATGCGCTTCTGGCCCTTCGGGCCCTTTCAAAACTATATCCAGACATGTGACCAGCTTGTGAATTACATGAGACATCATGAGACTGAATCATATGAGACTGAATCAGATTGAATCATACAGAAGGAAAAAAACGGTCGTAGATGGTTGTAGTCTGTTCAAAATTCTTACCCCTTTTGACTCTGCGACATTCCGTGACTGATCACATGGAATGCTACCACAGCTTTGCCTGTCGAATCTTGAGGAAATGAATGGGTTCAGCATTGGCAGTATAGGCTCAGTACCATGTTGCCACATTTGGGTCTTTTCTGAGAGGAATCTGACAGAACTCCGACAGACCGTTCTGCAATGGAGGAGCCCGTGATGGGGAGCCGCTTTGTCAAATGGCATCAAATTAACCTGGATCTCACATATACGGCAGCTTCTTTTATGACATTTCGTGTCATTTGGAGTCAATTGGTATTAGATTCAACAAGTTACAACATTAAGCATCATTTAAGAACTCATACACCGGTACATTTCCCCTGTGTTCGTTCCTGAGGGATCACATTTTGATAACCAAGTACATCCTGAGTAATCCCGTTCGCAGAGCATGAGATGTTTGACATTCTTCTTTGCTCTTGAGCTGTATTTTTGTTTGCTCAATCGGCAGCCTGCGGAGGAACGTGTGGTTGAAGACAGGGACGCACAGGAGGAGTCCCAAAATTCTCTGACATAGTTGCATTCTCTTGCTGAAATTTCATGACATGTCTGGGCTGGTTGCGTGCAATGCACAGGAACCTGGGGAGACACCCATAGATCTGACAGACGAGGAGACATTGCATCTAGATGCATCTAGCACGGTAGCTGCAAACCAGCACTACAGCTGCTGCTTGAGTTATCTATACCCATGATATCTCCTGCTTGTTGTCATCTTGCTGTCTTTGTGTGAGGAGTCCCCTGCTAGACCTTCTGACTCTTCCCTGACGGAGGACTTTTGGATGTGAACATTATTTTTGAGCTGACGCTCATCGTCGGCTCCGCCGGATTACTCGACCCTCCATTTCATCGCAGAGTGGGCTTGAAAGCTATTGAATGAGGACCTGCTTCAGAAATATATTCCTTAGGTTTTTTGGATTTGTTTGGAACATATTTGTTGGAAATAGACGTTTTTTTGGGGAGCAAGTGCGTTCCCGAAAGCTCCTGCGAATGGTTTTTCCTAAAGAACTGCTGCCAATTTCAACTTGTTACTTCGTGTAAAGGCGCCTCTGTGCAAAGACTTCTCTGTGTAAAAGCTTTTGTGTGTAAAAGTTTCTGTGTGTAAAAGTTTCTCTGCGTAAAGACTTCTTTGTGTAAAAGCTTCCTTCTGTGTGTGAAAGCTTCTCTGTGTGAAATCGCGTCTGTGTAAAGATTTCTCTGTGTGTAAAAGCTTCCGTGTGTAAAAACTCTCTGTGTAAAGGCTTCTCTGTGTAAAAGTTTCTGGGTGTAAACGCGTCTGTGTG